TCTCTGAATGCAGCACCAGTACAAGCATATTTTAGACTTCATAAACTATCTCCTGAGGTTATTTCCCATAAAGGAAGACTAGAGAAGGATATCTTTCGGAGTCTAGATCTTATGAACGCCAAGGTATACATTTTTAATCCAAAACACTTAGGCATTTTATAGTGTTTTAATTTATACTTTTAGGAGCTCTAATATTCAGTTACTGATTGAACAGGTGACTATTCTGTCTCTGCATCAATCTGGTGCATTTAATTGCACAGACGTGGAGTTTGCGGTTCTACCTGTCCCTACTGACTATTCAATAAGCAAAGACTCATTAACTTCACTGCGATCGCATTTTGTTAAGCTCTTTGCTCAAAGATCGAATCTGAATCTGACCACTTCGAGTTTCGGCCAGCCAACTTCTTTTCAGGTTTTGAAATTTCCCGAGGGAATAACTGTAGATCCCCTGGGGTTTAAACCTGTCTCTGGAGCACTAGAGATCCTGTTTAACTTTACTCTAGACATTTCGATATCGGAGATACAAGAGAACCTTGCTGACCTAAAGGATCAACTTGAGCTATTGTTACGTTTGGAGCCATATGAGAGCGTTCGTGTTCAGCTCACGAATGAAGAAGGGTCTACAATATCTCCTCCACTAAATGTTCAGGCTTATGTTGTCTCAACCATGGAAAACCATCTTGATCAGAGATTGGACAATCTTGCTCAGATCATTCAAACATCCCGCGCGAAAAATCTCGGTCTAGACAGCTCAGTTTTTGGTGAAGTCAAGAGTATTACTTTCTCAACTTACCTTGAAGGCAAAGTTCTTGATTCTGCTTCGGTATTGGCACCAGCACCAACTTCTTGCTTCCCTTCTCTGTGTTAAGTCTTACCAAACTGGGAAAAGGAGTTTCTCTTTTCCTCTTTCAGGGACCCAATTTCTATTCTGGCGAGGACGGAAACTTGTGTGAATGTTTCTCGTCTTAGTCGTTAAGTAGCGACAACAAAATGTATATAAAACAGTAGAGATTGGTGACTGGTAAAGGCAAACAATGGCTGCCAGTAACACCATCTCACTTCTAAGTCGTTTCTGGCAGAATCTTAATGCCAATAAATAGTATAATCATCGGTCTCATCGAGGTTGTATGAAACAGAGTTCATCATTCGAATGAGATGCGGCTTCACTTTACTTGTTACATCCTCGATTCAGTTGCTTAAAACAATCTATTTAACAAACAGAGGAATTCAGATTCTAGATATTGAGTTTATACATCCTCCCTAATCCCTATGGTTTATTACAAATAGAATATCGCCATTTTCTTTGAATCCATCTATCTCTTCTTCTAGCTTCTTGATTACTTCATCTTTCTCTGCAAGAGTCTCTAGTAATGTTCTATTCTCTTTACGAAGAGCTTGAAACTGGCTGATGATTCCATCTATCTGCACTTCAATGGCTTCATCACTAAGCTCAAAGGCAGTTTCCACAACCCTCAAAACCCGCCACAAGCTAACCACCACGATGAACCCGGTCCCTTTCCTCTCAAGCAACACCTGAAGAATCAGAGCTATAACCGCAAACGCACCATCCATTACACAACCAGGTTGTCTGAAGAATGATTTCCCCATAGCAACAGCTAAAACCATGGATTTAACGACGAGGATGCTAAGAATCGCGGTTCCTCCCCAACGGAACCATTCATCGTTGTTTTCGGTCTTCTTGACTGATGTGCAAGAGAGCAGAGAAGAAGATAGTTCGAGGGAGGTTAAGATAATGTCAATAGAGAGCAATAAGATGGCGAAAAGGTGAACTTGGTATGATTCTAGAAACTTTAATAGAGTGATTCTCCATTGTGGTTCGATGGAGATGAGTTCTTGTTGCGGTTGTTTCGAAGAGAAGCTGATGCAGAGTTGTCGCCATTTTCGCCGGTTGCACCAACTCTTGATTAGGTTTTGGATCGAGAATTCGACATTTTCAACTGTTCCGGTGTTGATGGAATTCATGGAAAGATGAAAAAAAAGTTTTTGGAAGTTGTATGATAGATTTTGGAAATAATCTTTAAAGGAAGGCAACCATTTTTAATGGCTTTTTTTTTCCTGGAAAGAAAGATTACTTGAAAGGTAAGTAAGCTTGAAAGATATGATGCAAGTTTTAGGTGACGATGATAGAAAAAGCCGAGTTTTCTGTAGACTGTAGGTAGGGTTTCAATAAGTTTAGCAGTTCTAATTTTTTTATTTTTTCCATACATATCAAACTCCTG